GGGGCAGCCACAGCTTCTCTGGGCAACCTGGGCCAGGGCCTCCCCACCCTCCCAGCCAGGAATTCCTGCCCAATAACCCACCTAACCCTGCCCTCTGGCAGGGAGGAGAAGGAACACAGGAGAAGGGAATACAGGAGAAGGAGCCCGGGAGAAGGGAATACAGGAGAAGAGAATACAGGGGAAGAGAATACAGGAGAAGGGAATAAAGGAAAAGGGAATACAGGAGAAGGGAACACAGGGGAAGTGAACACAGGGGAAGGGAACACAGGAGAAGGAGCCCAGGAGAAGGGAATACAGGAGAAGGGAATACAGGAGAAGGGAACACAGGAGAAGGGAACCCAGGAGAAGGAAATAAAGGAGAAGGGAGCCCAGGAGAAGCCCCAGCTGTGTCTGGCTCAGGGCAGCACAGATGGCCCCGCTCTCCCTCCCGAGCCGAGGCCCTGATCCCGAGGCAGCGTTCCCGGGTTTGTGCCGGAGAGCCCGGCGGGCCAGGGCTCCCAGGGCTATAAATAGCTCTGGGAATCGTTGTGTTTGCAGACAGGCTCGTGGGTCAGCAGGAAAACCCACCCGGGCGACCCAGAGCCGGGGAAAAGCCCTCGCCGAGCCCTCCTCCGAGTTTTCCCCCTTCCCGACTGCCCTCCAAGGGCTCCGGAGCGAGGGAGGGCAGAGCTGGGGCTGCCCCTCTGAGCTCCTGCACTGCGGGATCCACAGCACCCGGCTTCCAACCGGAGAGAGCCACAAAGGGAACCCCTTTCTCGGGCCACCCCTGAACTCCCCCGCAGCAGCAATTAGGGAAAAGCACCTTGTCAGCCTCCTCTCCCAGGGGATGGATTCTCCCGTTCCAGCTCTGCTCCACAGGTCGGGCTGGTCCAGCCACTCTCCCAGCGCTCCTTCCCCGACTCCCTGTCCCTCCCACGCCGTGGCATCCCCATTACCTGCCTCCAATCTCCCTTCCCGGATAAAGTCTCCGCGCTCCAGAGGCCCAAACTGCACCTCTCATCCCGCGTTATCTCCCGGCCCTGTGCACTTTTCCACCGGCTGGGAGCACTCCCAGCTGCCCCACACTGCCCTGGGACATTCCCTGCTCCTGACATTCCCTGCCCCCGGCCCTGGGACATTCCCTGCCCCACACTGCCCTGGGACATTCCCTGCTCCCGGCCCTGGGACATTCCCTGCTCCTGGCATTCCCTGCCCCCGGCCCTGGGACATTCCCTGCTCCTGGCATTCCCTGCTCCCGGCCCTGGGACATTCCCTGCTCCCGGCCGGATCCCTCCAGGAACAGCCTCCCTGGGCCCGGCTCTTCCCTCAGGCCGCAGCCCCGGCCCACGCTCCACCACCGCCCCCCTGACTCCTCCAAGTACATTTTTTCCCCCTCCAGGCTTCTCCTTCCCATTCCACAGGTTTATTCCCGAGGTTTCATTCCCTGCTCCGGAGCCGGAGCCGAGCTGGGGAGTCCCCCCCTGCTCCCCCCCCGAGCAGGGTCCGCCGAGTGTCCCGGGATCCTGCGGACGCTCCCGGTGTTCCCTGGATCCGGGGGGTGCCGGGCCCTGCCCGCGGCTGTGGAGTCTCCATTCCCAGCCCTCCCAGTTGCCGAGGAACCGCGGCCTATTTCCCTCCCGGCTGGGGGATAATCTCCTCCCGCACTATTTTAATCCAGGGCCACCACAACAACCCCGGAGCCTCCCCGGAACAGCCGGCGCTGCTCCTGAGCCCGGGCCAAGGAATGCTCAGGAGCCTCATTCCAAATTCAGCCCAAACAGCTCCTCCTCGAGCTGCTTCCAGGATCAGCCACGTCCTGCTCCCGACAGCTCATGGATCCTGCAGCGCTCCAGGATCCACAGCTCCTCCAGGAAACCTGGGCCAGGGCCTGCCCACCCTCAC